CCGTACAAAACCATTGCGGCGGCGATAAGAGACTGGAAGAAAAATGTTCGTACATAGTTCATATTTATTATTGAAATTAAAGAATTTAAAGTCAAAATAAAGTCGACTCCATGGTGGAATTATACCAGGTGATTATTGTGGGTGGAATGATTCCTACTTGCAATGAAAGTATTAGATCAATGTATACCTCTGAAAATCTTTTTGCATTCTGATGTCGAATTAAGTCTGTTCCAGGTGTTNAAAACAGCTTTTCCTGTAAATCTTGCAGATCGTGAAGTAACTGGAATGGGGTATTTATGACTTAATGAAGTGCTAAACATAGGCTACGTTTCGAAAAAATTTGAAAAACGGCTAAAAAATCATATCTGAGCAAAATATAAAATTCCGCGTGGAAAACTTTTTTAGAACATTTCAATCAGGAACAGAAAATAGCCATTACGAAAGGACGAAGAATAATCGTTGAATTTTAATTTTTATTTTTTTGATAAAATTTAGTCCTTATTTTGTGATAATATGATCGAAAAAATAATAAAACAACGGTTAAATTTGATCGGGAAAATTGATATCCAATTTAACGGTTAAATTGTGATTTTTATTAAAAAGATCATAACCGTTACGGTCCCTGATTTGAATACGGAAGTTGGTGTTGTTGTTGTAACGAGATAAAAATTCGTCAAAGTTGTTTAAGGAATCAGCTGGAGTGACAGTCTTTGTTCGGTTATGTAAACTCGCAAGCCGGTCGTATGCAACTGAACCACCTCGTCTGCGGTGGGTGGTGCTTAAACTCCGATGACGGAAATCACGGGCCGAGGATTCGTAAAAGAGGTGAAAATCGTTTTTGCCCTATCTGTACAATTTCCAGTTGTAGGTCGGAGGTCGGGCTCTTGTCCGTAAGTCCGTAGAGATCTCTTCTGATGTACCTAAGAGGTGGCTCTGCTTCCAGGAAGTGGATGAATTGTTTAGTGAGCATAAAATTATGTCCTACAAGTCCTCGTATACCAAATTCAGAAGCAGCATTGTTTCTCTGTCTTTACGTGGAGAAAGTAAGCTGGCTATCAAAAGTAAACCCTATAATTTACGGGTGGTCGACGTTAATTCCCAACTGTGGTCTGAAGTCTTTCGTCCAAGAGCTAAAAACGGTTACCGAGGATTTCGTCGCGGAAAAGGTTAGGCTGCTTGGTGTCAACCAAGCTAGATCGGGGAGATAACCGCTTAGTCTCGAACACACGCTATTAATACCATTTCCGTACGTCAAAATCGAGCAATCGTCAGCTTAGGAGATCTAGGAAATTACCTTTGGTGGCTGGGCCAGAACAGGTCTTTATGATAGTTTCATCCGTTGCTTATGTGACACCTAATTGAGTGGAGTTCGGATGGAGTTTTCTCTGGCATACGCAGCTGAAATAGAAATCTTATCCGCGTTTGCCAGAATAAGAAGAGTGCGGAGCAACCCTGCTGTGAAGTGTTGCTCCGGGAATAAAACGATTGGAAGGGTTCGCCGACCTAAAAAGGATCAGATTACCGAAATAACAACCCTTGGTAGGGTAAAGTGCGAGTTATTCTGCTTCATAGATCCGGCAAACGCGTGAGTGATATGCTTCACAATTGTTTCCTTTTCCCGAAGATTCGACAAGTCATTCTTGGTACGGTATTTCAACGGCTTGTATATAAATAATTTCCTTAAGTAGGAGCGTACAAGCGACAAAAAGCAGAATGATATAACCTTGGATGGGAAGTATAAGGTTAGGCATTAGCTACAGCGTCTACGAATATCGGTCTTGAAACCCCGCTTTGATAGTAACTGAAATGAGGATTACTGATAGGTAAGTTTAACGTCTTTTCTTTTTTTTGCCACGCTTCGAACGAAATTCTAATAGTACCAGGAAGACCGTAGTAACATTATTAACACTCCTTCCTGCTTGAAAGTCTTGGGTTGAAATTTCTATACGATATCGAGTTTAAAGCTAAATGTTATATGCAAAAACTAAACTGTCTTAACCGAAGAACTGTCATAAGTTTTCCTAGACCCATCCGTAAGACGTCTAAAACTCCCTTCTTTTACATCTACTATTTATATAAAACTACAGTAGCCTTCAGCTAGCGCTGAGCTCATTGCCTACTTTCTTTTGCAGTTATTTTCTTAACTCATTCTTGCAATACTCACATGGAAAATCAATCCAGGTGCCGGCGTCAGACGACGTACATGCACGTACGAGAGTATATCCATCAAATGACCTTCACGGCTTGCCGCAAAGCACAAACTAAATTTAAAAATAATTTAAAATATATTACTAATAAGCTGTTCTTATAATCCACATCATCCAAAGTGAACTCACCGTCCGGCCGCAAAAAGTGTACCATTCGCGCTACCAAAAGTGCTTACTGTCACACTGAGCGGCATAAGCCACGCCATGGCGCCCAGAATGCGATTGCCAAAGGTTACGGCCACAGCTTCTGAATCGATCATTTCGGTGGGTGACATCGCCGCCAAGTACGAGATGTTGATGAGTGCATAGCACAGTGTCACCAAAGGTATGCCAATAATAATGGACCGCGGCAAATTCTTGCTTGGATTCTTGATCTCCTCGGTGACATAGTTTAAATTATTCCAGCCATCGTACGCCCAAAGGCCTGTGTAAAAAGCGGTCGCTATTGCGCCAATGGTGGGTGTGTCGCCACTAAATGCATTCGACAGATGTTGAGTATTGCCTTGGAATAGTTTCCAGGCGCCGCCGCAGATCACAATCAGGACGGCAACCAGCTTGGCAGCGGTGAATATATTCTGCACAGCCATGCCCAGATTCACACTATAACAATTCACGAACAGTATCATAACTATAGAGGGGCGGGTGGACGAAGGCGATGTAGGCAGAGGCATAGACGGAGGCGGAGGCATCGTTGTGGGACGTAGGATGGTTTTGTTTGTTTTTTGTTTTTTTTTCATTTTTTTTATTTTTATTTTATTTAGTGGGACGGATGAATGGATACAAAGAGTATACAATAGCCGGAATTGTTGTGGAGAAATATAGAGAATAATTTTGTAAAAAAAAATTAATAAAAAACTAGTTTAAAGAAAACTTTGTATGTTTGTGTGTCTGTGTGTAAATGAGTGAGTGTGTGTGGGTGAACGTTTTTTGCTTTCTTCTTTTTTGCTTTGTTTTGTTCTTTGTTGGTTTTTGGGAAACATTCTTTGTTATTTTTTTTTTATTCAAAAAGGATTTTCAGGATAAAAACACACAACTAAGCAAACGAAAGTGCATAAATATGTAGATATGTCTGCGCGTATATTATATGTAGAATTCTTACCAATTGCCAGCAGTGCAACCATTTTAACCACCGATGTTGGTGGATCACATTCGTTAACGAATGCCTCAACTGCATATTGAGCAAAGGAGAGACAAATTATAGCCATTTGCGATGGCTTCAGCACCAACGTCGATACCCATGAGAATAAAAATGCGGGAGCCGGACCAAACGCGTCCATAAAATATGCCCACTCAGCGCCAGACGATGTATTCATCGTACCCAATTCAGCATATGCCAGAGCGCCTGAAAGTAGATGACAAAAATATAGATATGGATTATGGAAAATATAGATAAGGATATCGACAAATCATGCTTTGAAATACGACTGTACGGGTAACTGCCGAAGATATGACGAAAAATGATAAAAGGCGACCCCCTACTTTCAGCCAAAGAGGAGAAAAAACGAAATTGTCTTCGAATCGAAATACTTCTTTAGCACAGGTTTGAAGCTTTTTGGCAAGATTGAAGTTTTGACATTTGACATGGTACGTTAGGGTGGTAGGAACTGAGATCTGGTGGTTAAGTACTAGAGAGAGGTGCTTGAGGGCAACGAGCTTTGGAACAATAAAATGGTCCCCTCGAGACAAAAAGATCGACAAAGGTCACCCTTTGTTCGGCTAAAAAGATGTTTTCGAAATTGTTTTGCAAAAATACCTAAGACTCAGGTATGTATGTATGTATATTAGGTTGGTAAAAAAAATTAGACATCTTCAAGAACCGAAGAATATGGAAGATAGGGTGACCCGTATATTTTATTTAGATCTGTATGTTTAGATCTGACCATTGCATCATGCAGAATTAACTGTAATCTTAAATTTTTATATGAGAATTGAAGGTGGTTTTATTTTTTCTTAAAAATTACTTATATTAACCGACTTCAAAAAAAAATTAGAAGGTTCGTCTGAATATTTTTTATTTTTTTTTTGTATGTATGTTACCGCATAACTTAGAGCCACGATAACCGATTCCTATAATTCTTTGTTTAAGGGAAGGTGGTACCTCAGAGGTACCCGATCATTGAATCTTGAAGTAATTATCGGTACTGTTAAATTTTTATATGAGGATTTAAGTCGATTCTGTTTTTTGCTTAAAAATTAGTTTTATAAAAAATTGTCAATTTCGGAAAAAGTTACAATTAATCTTCCTTATTCAAATATTGCTTTATAAGGCTAAACCATCCAAAAACATAAGAATTTAATCTCCCAAAAACTGAATTTTTTTCCGCCAAATTCCCACTGTGCGCTGGTCTGGTGGCTAGCTCTAATTTAGGATTATGTGGTTAAAGACAGCTAGAGAAGTCAGCGGATGCAATGAGATTCTGCTAGTTTTAGTACTGATAGACATTTTTATTGAAAATTCAGTCGCTGTCAGTACAATAAAATTGTGGGCTT